TCAAATTCAAAAAAACTGAATTCTTAAATTTTTTTTAAATGTCATATTAAATTTATATTTCAATTTAGTGTGCCTTGATTTAATGGATATTAATGGATTGATGCAAACTAAAACTATAATAATAATAATAATAATAATAATAATAATAATAATAAAAATAATAAATTCTTCTCGATATAACAGATTCTTGTCATAGTGGATGAACGGAACACATAAGAAAATTTTATATTTATTTAAAATCCGTGTACAATGGATTTTTTTTCAAAAATTTTAATTATCATAGTCCACTGTGGCGTGACAAGGTTTGACTATATTAACACAACAATAATGGGTTTTTGGGAAAAAATTTTCTAATTACTCAACTATCTGGTAAAACCAAGGATATTATTTAGTGATGATGGCCGAAACTATTTTTAGATACTTCGCCCAATTTCAGCCATTAAAATAGTTTCACCCAATTAATTTTAGCCACTAAATAAGGCAGTTTTGGCCACCATCACTAATATTAACAACACTAATGATAACGTAATGACGAATAAAAAAGCTATACAATTTACAGTTGCACAATTCATTTAAATCTAAATAATAAATATAATTAATGAATAATAATAATAATAATAATTATATATAGATTCGAATCAAATTATATATTCCAATCAGTTCAAATCAAATCAATTCGAATCAGTTCAAATCAAATCATAGGTTCGAATCAAAGTACAGTTCGAATTCGATTCGAATGAAACGGATCGAAAATTAGGTGGTTTGATTCGATTCGATTCGGTTCGAATTTCATTGATTCGTTCGGAGCCTTAACTTTTCCATATAATTAATTTTTCATTACACTGACTGGTTGGTTCTTTTTTTAGAAAAGGAACCGCATATATGGATTACCTTATGGATATTAATTAGATTTGTTGATCAAATACCCAATGTCTTCGAATGTTTATTAATGAATGCCCAATTGGGTTTCTTTCCAAAAAAAAGACGCACAGTATGTCATATGAAGAAAGTAATAGTAATAGTATTGGTACAATAATTAGACATTCGCTAAGAATTTGAACTTTGTTAATAATATAAGTCTATTTTTAATATTAACTTTTTAATTCTTTTTATATTCTATATAATCTTATAAATAAATAATAAAAGATAAGTCTTAAATATAGTGTTTTAAGAAAAAAACGGCGATGACAAAAAAATTGCATATTTCAACAATAGATGGCACTATTACAAGATAAAATAAATATCATTCTTTATTGAAGAAAATGCATATCGTCATCACGCGTATTTGTACATAACATAATTAAATAAATTTAGATTCGTTCGAAAGTTTATCAACTTACTTTGTTAAAATAAAATAAAAAATAGACATGAAATGCTATTGCCAATTTTCTGTAAGGCTAATTCGTATATTTTTTTAAAACTTTGCTATATTTTTTTTTCTTTAAAATTTTTTAATAATAGCTCTCCGACACTTAAGATGGGAACCGCAATTAGCCGCAATTCAATTTTTATATGCCGCAATTAATTGAGGAGCTGTCTTTAATTTTAGTGTCACTAAAATTTAATTTTTCTTTCAAGCATTCTTTTAGTAAGCAAATTTTCTACATAGTTTATATCATGATCCATTTCTTCTTGTTTGTCAGAAACTTTAAACTCATCATCCATTATTATATTTTTATTATAAATATTTTTAAATGTTCTATTTATTCTTCAGACAATATTTCTGTTTTGTCATTGCTTCCCTCTTCTTCTTCTTTACTTCCTTCTCCTTCTTTACTTCCTTCTCCTTCTTTACCTCCTTCTCCTTCTCATTCAATTAAGACAATTGTTTCGTTTTTTTTTTTTTTTCGTTAATATATGAATTAGATTGATAACTTTTTTTAAGTTCAGCAAAAAATCTTTTAAACCAGTTAATTCAGAATGTGCACCAATAAAAATGCTGTTAAAAAAGATGCGTGTAGACATTTTTTTATATTATGAAACAGTAATTTAAAAATCGCGCGGGAAATTTAAATCAGAAATGATTTACTAAAATTCGTATGACATATACACATAATGCAATTAACATAGAGAACCAATAAAATAATTAGCTCGCAGAGATTATCAAAGAAAGATTATTCTAATATTCTAAATTGTAGCACTTTAATTCTGAATTCAAAATCATTCATTCACTTTAAAAAGAACCTGTAAATATTCTTAAAAAAGGTTTGTTTATTTTTAAGGAATACCTTTAATTGGAGTTTTAGAAAACTAAATGATTGAACCTTTAACATGTATATAGATAGATGACATTGTAGTTTTTGGGTATAATAATTCACAAACCATTTATGATGAAACTGGCGAAAGTAAAGTTTTTTTCCACAACTGGACTGAATATTTAAAAAAAAAATTTTTTAAACCATTACCAGATATTTAAAATATCATCATTTTATTTTAACCAGGAATTGTATATCTTAAATGAAGGATTAATGGAACATTTAATTTTATAGATATTGCTAAAAATTTAATTGTGGGTCCTGTAGGTTTAAGTCCTGACTGAAAAAAATATATATTAATATGGGGTATGCTGCAACAAAACCAGACAAAGTGAACATTGGTATTACCAAGGAATTCAGGGATCAAAGTTTAGTCATTTGTAACGTGATTATAATTAACAGTTTTATAATGTCCCATTTTCTATCTTGAATGATATATAGAACTGACCCCATATAAAAATAATAAAAATTTGCTAGAATTAAATAATATTTGTTGTTATTTTTTATTTGTATATTAAAAAGGTGGTGGTGATTATTAACCTGTTGCTTGCTACTCTACTCTATTTATATAGATAAAAAATAAACATGACTTAGCTTTTTTGTTGTTATTAATACTTGTACATGAATATCTGATTATTCAATACATTTTATGTTGTAATTGACATAACAAACAATTGCATCACCCAGGTAATAATAACACCAAGACCATGCAGAAATGAAACTTTTAATAACACATGTCCACCCAGATCTCTGGGGTACACAAGAATAAATAAATAAATAGGGAGGATCAAAAAAAATCACTTCCCTTTCCCATTGTATAGTTCCTTATGAATAATAAATCTGATGATAATAACAGGTGTCAGATTTAATTAAAATTTCCTATCACAAACATACAATCGCGATGCAATTAAGCACAATTCAGCACCATGGATTTTTTTTTCCACAGGTGAAGGAGTGTTGAACATGTTGGAAGGCTTTGGACAAAACTTCCTTATCTTATCCTCAGACCAGGCTTGCTGTTATCACATGAGCATTGATAGCTGATGAGGATCGGCATTTGTGTGATGATTGCTTTGTTTATACCTCTGTAGAATAAAGTTGGTGTTAAGACTGGTTTGAAAATTCAGCAGCTCAGGAGGTTGCAGCCTGGGTTGCTGTTTTGGATTTTCCCTGAATTCTGAGTTTTGAGGCCTGGGTTGTTGTTTTGTCGGTGGTACATCTGCTCACCAGCAACCTTACCCACATTTAAAAAATAATGAATTCACTTGGTCAAACAAAAATTAAAGAAACAGAACATTTGGGAATGATTAATTTATAACATACCAAAACAAACCTGAGCCATTTAATTTTACAGCTTTTCTCTTAACATCAGAGCCCAAATGCAATTTCAGGGTCACCAGCCCCACTCTGAATTGCAACCTCCCGTGCTTGAAATGAACTGCAGATTCTCTTAATATTCCTCCAGAGTTGTGATAGCTTGGTCACAGATCCGTCCTTACCTTAGAGGTAGGATCGTTGCAGGCAATTTTCAGCTAACATGCAGCCTTCTCTGGTCTGTATGCTGCGAGTGAAAAGCGTCATTGACGATTGATGCAGTCTCGGTAAACTCCAGGGCCACGTACCCCCCTGAAAATTTTGTTGCATCATTGTATCTCAGGGCAAGCTAGTCAGGTTAGCCTTTGTACACGAGGAAGAGGAGAGAATGACTGTAAAAAGTTCAAGATAGCGTGCATGCCTTCAACGTCTGCTAATTTCCGATAATCAAACGTTCCGTATCGAAATGTTTCATATTTGAATTGTTTCTTTTTCAACAGTCAATGCTGTCTTGACATCTTGTAATTAATTATATAGTTAATATTGATTATGGTTACGAAAAGCCAAATATCAATTGTTTGCCATCTTGATGAGAATCTTATAATTACCCAGCGAGTTCTGCTCCACGTTTTGATTTCAATAATTAAAATAAAAGTCACCACATTATATCAATACAATTTAAAAAAAAGTCTCTTTTTAGAACCAATCATGCTAAACAACAACACTCGCGTTTTGTCATCTGTCAAAAAATAAAAAAAAATAGGGGTCCATACATAAGAGTAAGTGTTTATCGTAAGAATGGCGGTTATCGCCACTACTTGTCATTCTAGTTATTATTAAAAGAATGGTAGTTACATTATGCTGCAACTATCACGACTTGTCATCTTAGTTGTCATATATATATATAATTATTCTTCTCTTCCTCAACAACAGACAAATTGATGAAACCAACAAAGAAAACAACGCAGACTTAGAAAAAAGAAAACGTAGAAAAAACGAAGAGTTGGAATTTAAAGTGAGCAGTCTTTAGTATTTGATCTTCATAGTTTATTATTTATTGAATACCCTTTGAATATACATAAAAAAGTTAAAAACAAAAGGAACCAGCGAGTACATTAAAATAGATTTAGCACAACAAGTTCTTTCAAGTCCATCCGTGGTGCCATTAAAAGAATACAAGTGGTTTGGAACAATGTTGACGTTTGGGGATATTTACATAAAACAAATGAATACATAGAATCGTGAGTAAATTTTACTTTGTATATTGTTATTCTATTTTGAATCATCTCAAAGCCTTTTTTGTGAAATATTTTTTATTACTTAAATAGATCATTGCAAATAAATGTAGTCAATTCCAATGACATTTCATGTTCAAAACTATTGCCATCTTCCATTGTTTCATCAATACAAAATCAATTAGAAGATGATAATATGAATATTGTATATTTTGATGATAAAAGAGAACATGGGGTGAAAAAACTTACCACTGGAATCAATGAGAACGTGCTCAGTTATCTGGAAAATTTCGAGAGTTGTGTAAGCATCTATATTATTCAAATAATTTTTAGTATAGGATTTAATTAAAATTTAATCATCTATTTTTACAGTATACATTGGATCAATTAAAAGAAGCACTTAATAAAAATAATATACATGGACAAACAAATGTTCCTTTCGATATAAAATACATCTATCAATTTTCAATAACATGTTTGTAAAGTATAAAGCATTTTACTAATATATATATACTTTACTATGTATTATAATTTCCATAACCAGGCATTATATTTACTCAAACAATATTTTAAATAGAAATTTAACAGAGTTTGAATATTCTGCATATGTTTGGGTGCCATTAATAAACTATGCATTTATGGAAAGTGACAATATCAAAATTGCGAGGTATGTTAGAATTTTCAAAATTTAGAAAAAATGCTTTTGTTGCATCTATACACATATAAATAATTCTAAGATTTTATTCATTCCTGTGTTTTAGTGGTGATGTATCTTCAAGAGGGTTTGAAAAGTTGAAATCTTTGGCCCAGACACAAAATAAAACAGGTCCAAGAATTGATACAAAGGGTGCAATATTATCAACTGGAATTGAGGTATTACTAATAGAAAATGCAGTAAATGAAGATCAAAATAAACAACTCCTAGACCAAGAGAAATTAGATATTGCACAAAGGTCCTGCTTGCAAGTGTATTTATCTCATTACCATCATCTTCATGGAATAATATACACGAATTAGAAATTTATATAATCCAAATTAGTGGTAAATAGTTTTCCTTTATAAATCTGATTGCTCATAATAATTGATTGAAATTGTAATATTTACTCCTTTTAGGGTTATCATTATCACTATCTGTTGCATCCTACCTCTTTGAAGATACCATTTGCATCTTGGGATTAACTGACATTATGATACCAAGAACTGTTGATACATTCTCTAAATGCATGGAAGCAGTATATATGATTTTGTCTTTGAAGGTGATATGTTATTTTATATTTCTATTTCTCTCTCTCCCCTTGCTAATTTAAGTCCATATAAATTTTCCACAAAAAGGCTCATATATTGGAGAATAATAAATTAAATTATGAAATAATGGACAAGGCATTTATACAGTTGAAAGAAAAGAATTTTCTTCCACCTAAAAAACTAATGAATCTAAAAAAATGATTATTTGTGGTAATTATATACATTTTTAAATTAACAAAGTTAATTATTCAAATGATTAAAAGGTTATATTTATATTATTTTAGAATCTAAATTGTAGAAAGAAATGAATAAAAATATTAATATTAAAGGTTTTAATTAACAACACACTATATTAATTAATCAGAGAAATTTTTTTTTATATATTAAACCATAATGTAAATCATTTTTTCTCATTGAAAGAATTATTATACTTAATCAATTATGTTATATTTTTTTCCCTACTTCTTGTGCTTGCCTTATCTCTCATACTTTCACTAGTAATTTCTCTTGTAATTAACATTGTAAATGAAAAATACTTGTAGTATTGTCCATCACCTAATGATTTAGTTAAGTGGGATTTTAATAAAACAACTCAGCTGTGATAATAATGACTAAATTTTGATCCCTGAAATTTTTGGTAATACCAATGTTCACTTTGTTACAGTATGCCCCATATATATTTTTATTTGATTGACATTACGTTACATCAATTAATTTTGATTTTAGGGCATCTCACACCCCAATATAAGATCACAGAAGCTTTAACTTTTACTTCTAAGGTAACCTATTGAAACCAATTTGATCAATTTGATCAAGTTTTACCAAAATATAAAGAAACAAGTTAAAGCGATAGATTTTCCATAAAATGGGTTTTGTGCGCAGTCACGCGACTTTTTTTTATTTTAAATTCAATTGAAATAGCAAGTTTCACAACATAAAAAAGGTCGATGATCGATTTTGTCACAAGTGATGATGACACAATTACTTACTATATACACAGTCAACTCCCTCCAAGTATACCGGAACATATCGCTATCGCTCATGAGCGTGCGTTTAGAGAGGTGGATGCATTTAACCTTTTTTGCGAGTTTAGGCCATTGGAAAAAATGGCAGCTTTTAAAGATCATTCAGTCAACGAAACAGTCATTATAATCAAAAGACTTTATAGAAGGGGTTGTTGTATATTATTGAGATATTAATATTCTTTTTTCCGTTTCAACTATACATAACCAGTTGTACAAATAGCCAGTTTCTCACCAATCTAGCATAAAAGGTGCTGTTTAAATATTGGCAGACAAATGTTGAGAGATATCATACTCCTGCAAAATTTCCTCATTTTCTGCAGTTAAAACACTGGAACATATCATGCTCCCAATTTCAAAAAATTCAATAACAAACTTGATTTCCTACTATAAGAATACACTGTAATGGTTTAATTTATTTATTATCATTCAAAAGTTCCTCAAAGATTCTAATGATTCTAGTTACCAACATTAAACATCAAAAGTATGTCCTAACTGTTCATCCTGTGGATTAAAATACCACTATCTATTATTTGCATGTACTTCGTGTTACATATGTATGTTGGTCATAATTTCATTAAGTCTTATTGTTTTTTTAAATTAATCCTTTCTCTATCGTAATTATTGTAAATGTTGTGTATATATATAAATTTGAGGAAAAAACATAAGATAAATTTGGAAGAAAAAAATATGTATATATTTATATTTATATGTATTTATAAATGGTAAAAAAACAGCAAAAAAGAAAAAAAAGAAATATATTATAATAATAATAATAATAATAATCAAATCAAACCCAAATAAAACGAATCGTAACATTTAATAAAAGAAAGAAAGAAAGATATATATATATATATATATATATATATATATATACATATACATATACATAGTAATATTAATAAAATTATTCAATAATCATCTTCTTTCTTCTCCACCTTCCTTCTATTATTATTACTATCATTAAAATGTTTTATGAATGATTATTTTTTTATAAAAAAACATATTTTAATTATTATTTTCTTTTTAATTTCTTAAAATATTTTTCTTGAATAAAAAAAATACCAAATTTATGTTACTTTGGCCATTTCTTTTTTCTTCTTAGCAGCACTACGTGGAGGAGTAACTGGCCTTCCTGCATTCATACCACCATAAGTAAATTTCTTTTTCTCTGCTGGTTTAAGAATCTATTTAATTATAATTACAATAATAATATTAAATAATATTTAAAACCTTTAAATATGTATACAACTTTTAACCAGTTAATATGTACCTGGAATGAACACATGAGGGTTTCATCTACACTCATCATTGCACCTGCATTATCAAATTCTCCACAATAATTTGGCGCAGAAAATAATGTAACAAGTTGTCGTTTGGCGAAAAATTCGTATCCATCTTCTACCACTTGATGTGCTCTACATATCAAATCCATATCATGTTTTTGTAAAAATCGACTAACCACATCTGATCCAAATGTATACGATACACCTCTATCATTCTCACTCCATCCAGTAATATCTTTTTCAGGATCTGACCATAGCAAATCACATAGTAAACCTTCAAATATTTAAAAAAACAATTTCAAATCAATCTTTAATTTTTTATAATAAAAAACAAGGTATGTAAACGATATAATATACATATTTTTCTTCTTTTAAATGAATTAAAAACAAAAACAAAAATACCTGTGTCTGGTACATCTGTAGGTCTCATAACTCTTCGAATTTGTTCCATACTCTGAAGATCAGGTGATAACCCACCATGCATTGTAAAAATCTTTTCATCAATTATAGCAGCAATAGGTAAACAATTAAAACAGTCTGTAAAGGTTTTCCATAATTTAATATTATATCTTCTTTTACACTCATCATAAAATCCATAAATACGATTAATGCTTGCACATTCATGATTTCCGCGTAAAATAAAAAAATTTTCTGGATATTTTATCTTGTAGGCCAATAAAAGACAAATTGTTTCTAATGATTGTTTTCCTCTATCAACATAGTCACCAAGAAAAAGGTAATTTGCTTCTGGTGGAAATCCTCCGTATTCAAATAGCCTTAACAAATCATAATATTGACCATGTATATCACCTATATCATTAAAAAAAATAACCATGTATATATTTTTTGTGTGTGTGTGTGCATACATAAAAGATCAATTAAATGATAATATTTATTTACAAAAATTTTTTTTAATTAAACATACCACAAATTTTTATTGGTGCTTCAAGTTCAAGAAGTATCGGCTGAGAAATAAAAATTTCTCTTGCTTTTGTGCATAGATATTTAATTTCAAATTCTGCAAGTTGAACTTGTTTACCAGGTCGACTACCTCTTACTATAAGAAAAAAATTTATAAAATTTTTTGTTATTATTGACAAATAACGACAATCACCATAAAAATAACGTATGTAATCTATGTTTCAGTCGTTATAAAAGTTGTTTTATAATTTTGTTTTTATGCAACATATATACTATATATGTAAGTATATATAAATCCTAAATATATATATATATGTAATATTTGCCAAGTTGTATGTAAATAGCTCAAATGTAAATAAAAAGCAAGTTAGCACAATACCTTCAAGTAACCTATCAATAACAGAGTCAATGTCTATTTCAAGAGATTCGCCCATTGCGGTAGTCATTTATTTATTAATTATGAGCTTGGAAACAATAAATATACTTCTTTTTTCTTTTTATATTCTACTGTCAAGAAACACCAAAAACCAAATTGTTTAAAGATCGCTTCGACAGAATAATAGAATAATTTGATAAAGAAAAAAAATTGACAGGAGACAATAGATTAGAATATTAGAATATTATTTAATTTTTCAGATAATAAAATGAAATTAAAAAAAAATAATGTTGGACAGGATGTGTCGAATATGAAGTTTGATGTTTTTTGGTAACAATACATTTCAACCAATAAATTATTCGTAATAAATACAAAATCAAAATTGATATTTAAAAAGTATTTTTGTTACGCATGGTACTATGCTATTATTTATTATTGATTTATAAAAAAAAAATAGGTTTATTTATTCTATTAACATTATTTGTTTCTTTTTTTTTTTGAAAACGCGTTAATCAATAAATAATTATCTTTGAAATTTTTATTGGTTCTTTAAAGACATGAACTTGTATTTGTAAACAAATTCAGTTTTTATTAGACCAATGTTTAGTAATGGGTTAAAGACAGGTAATTTGAATGAAGTTTACAGGTCAGTTTCTTTGGAGTAGCAGTATAGGGAAACCACATAACTATGGGACGTTTACGCGATCAGTTTTTGATAGTTTACGTGTTCATTATGATCAGCTACTTCTGTGTAAGCACTTTACAATTTCACATATTATAAAGCGTGTGGAACCATGATGAATATAAAACAGTTAAAATATTTTTACTAATTACTTTTGAGAAGAAATACTTGTTCGAAATTTATTTATTTCTGGTACCCGTGTTACTTCAATAATGTTAATAATCAGAATTAAAATCTGGTTATGAACCCTGTTTCAATTAATGTTGATGTCATGTGGGGCATTTTGTTTTCATCTTTGGTTTTCCTACATTTATTGACCATTAAAAACCCCGAAAATGAATGGGAATTAGTCAAAACTCCCGGAAAATCTAGAATAAGAAAAAAATTTTTTTTTTAATTTTTTTTATTTTTTGCAGGAAGTATAATTGTCACCATTCTGGCCGTTCTTAGCCATGGCTCCATTTAATCAACGTCCTGAAAATGCTCTTAAAAGAGCTGAAGGTAAGTTGATCTATTGTATTATATATAAATTAGTCGGAACGATTGTAAAATCTATGTTCCTACAAAAAAAATTTTTTTTTTTAAATTTTAAAGTTGAACATTAAAACATTAATATAAAGGGCCATTTGAAATGTCATTAATACTAAATTTGGTTTTATACTTTAGAATTAATCGCAGTTGGACAAAATGTGGCCGCCTTACAATCTCTACATGATATTGTTCTTTCGATACGGTCACGGACCATACCTTTACCCTCCTTCGAACCAATAATGCTTCGATTCATTGAATTATGTGTGAATCTGAGAAAAGGGAAGACTGCCAAAGAAGGCTTATATCAATTTAAACATATTTCACAAAGTTATAGTGTCGCAACTATTGAGGTTTGAAAATGAAATGTTTAAATTTTTTTTCCTTTTGAATTATTAATTTTCATTGATTAATATTCTATCTATTGATTAGCTTGTCATTAAAAGATTTCTTGAACTCGCTGAAGAAAAAGTAACTACTGCACAAGCAAAAGCTGATCAAATCACTTTGGAAACCGTCGATGATCTTGAGGCATCTGAGACTCCAGAATCAATTATGTTAAGTACAGTTAGTGGTGAACAAAGTAAAGACAGAACCGATAGAGCCGTGGTTACACCCTGGCTTAAATTTTTATGGGAAGCATATAGAACAGCTTTAGATTTTCTAAGAAATAATGTTCGATTAGAAGTCTTTTATCAAGTATGTTATCATACTTCCCTTTGTTTCACTTAAGTAAAGCATATTTTTTATTATTTATAATTTACATTAATATTGCCATTACTATAATTATTGTTATGATTTTCTTTATATAGCAAACAGCACATCAAGCATTTCAATTTTGTTTAAAGTATACTCGTAAAACAGAATTTCGACGTCTTTGTGAACTTCTTCGCAACCATCTTCAAAACATAGCAAAATATCCAAATCAAACTAACTTGATTAATTTGAACGAACCAGAAACCTTAAAACGCCATCTTGATACAAGATTTTATCAGCTTAATGCAGCTGTTGAATTGGAATTATGGCAAGAAGCTTTTAGATCCGTTGAGGATATTCATAATCTATTGTCATTATCAAAAGGATCTCCAAAACCAATGATGATGGCCAATTATTATGATAAACTTACAAAAATCTTTTTAGTTGGTGAAAATTATTTATTCCATGCTGCTGCATGGAATTGCTATTATACATTGGTAAAAACTCAAAATAAATCGTTGTCTGATGAAGAAAATACCAGAATGGCTTCTTTTGTTTTATTATCTGTTCTTGCCATTCCTGTTATCACTAATTCTAAGACTCGTTTACTTGAAATTGATGATAATAAAAATAAACAACATAGACTTGCTATTTTGCTCGGAATGAGTCGTGCACCAACTAGGACTGGTTTACTTAAAGAGGCAGTATGTGCTTAATTTTAATTTTTAATTTTAATATTGTGTAACATAAATTATGAAAAAAGGTACAATCTATTTTCTTATTATTTTTTTTTCCCATTTATTCAAAAATTAGCTAAACAAACATATTCTTAGAAAAGTTCAACCTGAACTTAGAGATTTATACAACATTCTGGAGGTTCAATTTCATCCTTTGTCAATATGTAAAAAAATCGAACCTATTGTCAATCATCTTTCACAAGATACTGAAATGGCAAAATATGTTAAGCCTTTACATCAAGTTATTTTGACAAGACTTTTTCAACAACTTTCACAAGTTTATGATACAGTTAAACTTGATTTTATCATAAATCTAGCATCCTTTGCACCACCATATAATTATGAAGCTGCGACTATTGAGAAATTTATTATGAATGGATGTAAAAAGGGCGAACTTTCAATCAGAATTGATCATGCTACTAAAAGTTTAACATTTGAGACAGATATATTCTTATCACCAAAAATTACTGATTCTGATGGGGCCAAATTACAAGCATCACCTACAGATCAAATGCGTGAACAACTTTCCAAACTTTCTAAATGCTTTTATACTGCTGTTCATATGATAGATCCTAGTATAGTCGAAGCCAAAAAGCAAGCTAAATCACAAACTATTGCGCATGCTTTATCTGGTATGGAAGATGAACATAATAACGCTTTGGCTCGTAAAGCCATTATTGAACGTAGAAGGGAGTTGTTAGAAACTTTATTGATGCGTCAAGAGAAAGAAGAACAACGGCAAAGAGCTATTCGTCAAAAACAAAGAGACGAAGAATTAAAACAACGTCAATTAGAAGAGGCTAAAAAAAGAGAGTCGCTTAGAAGAAAGCGTGAATATGAAGCTATCCAAAAAGAAGAAGTCAGAAAATTTGCCGAATCTCTTAAAGCTAAAAAATTGAATGTTCAGCCAGAGGTATTTATATAACTATCAACCCATTTAATTGAATGCATGTATGTTTAGTAAATGTAAAATTATTTATTTATTGTGTAGGATTTGGAAAATTTAGATCCAGACCGTCTGGTACAATTACAAGTTGAACATATCGAAAAAGAAAAAAAAGAACTTGGTGAACGTCTTAGAACCCTTGCAAAACGCATGGATCATTTGGAACGTGCTTATCGTAAAGAAGAAATTCCTTTGCTTGTACAAGATTATGAAAAACAAAAGAAAACTGACCGAGAGTTACACGATGATGCTCGTAAAATGCAACTTGAAGCAGCGGCTTCCAAACATACTGAGAATCTTAAAATCAAATCAAGGTTAATGAGAATGTTGCCTGATTATCAACAGTACCGTAAAGATATTGAAAATAAAAGATTTGAAGAATTTGAAGAACATCGTAGAGCAGCTCAAGCCAAAATTAATGAAGAGAAAGAGAAAAGAATAAAAATATTCAGAGCAAAAAAAGAAGATGAAAGAAAAAAAAAAGAGGCAGAAGAAGCAGCCAAAATAAAGGCGATAGAAGAAGAAAAAAGACATATTGAAGGTTTTTAATTAACGATTAATTTTTTAAAAACTTTTTTTACAACTATAATCTAAATTTTTTTACTTGTTATGAAGAAATGGAACGTGCAGAAGCAGAACGTCAAGAAAAAGAAAAAGCTCAAAAGGCAGAATATGAAGCTAAGAAAAGGTAATTATTATTTTTCCCCTGAAATTAACTTTATTATCGTTTGTTTAAGATCCTGATTACCATATCAATTTTCATTAAATCAGGAAACTTGACGAACAAGCTGCCAAGCAACGCGAGCGTGAGGAAGAAGCTGAACAAAGAAGATTAAAACGTGAATTGGAACAAAAGGCAAAAGATCTTGAAAGACAACAAATGGAAGATAAAGAAAAAAAAAAGGCTCAAGATGCTCAAGAAAAAATATCCGCTCCCAAAAGTAGTTACATTCCACCTGCACTTCGTAAGCAATTAGAATCTACATCACAATCACCAATTAAATCACAGGGTAGAGTAGCATCAGGTCGTGGTGCCAATATCGAAGAACCACAACGCCGTCGTACTGAAGAAACAACATGGCGAAGGGGTGAGACAGTTCGTAGCAATACAATTGATACCGATACACTCCGAACTGAGCCAGGAATAATACGTAAGCCAGATCCACATAGATCAACTGATGACGGTTCTTGGCGTAGTAGACAAGATTCAAGCCGTGGTTCTGAGCGTAAAACAGGTACAAGTCGTGGTACTGATGACGGTTCTTGGCGTAGCAGACAAGATTCAGGTGCTGCTGATGATGGTCCATGGCGTAGATCAAATTCAGGCCGTACAGCAGATGAACATAATAAAGCTTCACACGCTACAACAAAAGATGACGATGATGATGATGGGTTTATTCCTGTAACTAAGAATAAACGTCGTATTAAATCTCAGACTGAATCATAATTATAAAAAACATTACTTTTTTTTACAAAAAATAAATTGTTTCTACTTACAAATATCAAATATTGAATTATTGTATTTAATTTTGCATTTTTTCCCTATAATCTTAATATTATTAAATTAAATAAAAAAATTAATATAAATAATCAAATAATTATTATAACTGTTCACTTGCAAAAGATCACAATTTTGGTAATATGACACATGAAAATTGTGAAACCAATATTTGGGTAGATCTATTTATTAAATTCATTGATAATAAATATCAAATTTTAACTTTCTTTTTTAATGCGTGCATTCTTTATATCAAAATAATGCAAAAGATTAAAACTATATTAAAATTTTCTTAAAATAAAATAAAAAAATCAATTATAAAAAGCAAATGATGGATAATTCTTTGGATTACATGAGATTTCAAAATCATTGTCGTCTCAAATCATCTTGGGCTAGAATTATTAAACGGTATCAGGATGTGAGTGACGAGGAAGCAGATGTGATAGATCTTATAACGCAAGAAATAATAATTAATCGTGGCATAATTCAAAATGACAACATACGTGTATTAGGTGAATGTTCTGGCAAATCTACAGAATTTTGCTTGGATGGAGAAAAAGGAAAAGACACAGAATTAGATGTTAATGACAATGACAATGACGATGATCATACATGGAAATTAGATGCTGCTACCATTGATATTATGTTGGATGACACAAGTTCAGAAGAACTTTTATATAATAAAGAAGATTTTTCATCGCATATAGATTATAACATTGATGGACTATGTAAAGATTTTGAATCAGAAGAATTATATATGACAGATGACGAGTATTCTGGCGACGAAGGTTCAATATATAACAGCAAATATTCTAATATACAAGATAAAAATGAGCTTAATCGATCATTTCTATCATCTTCAGAAATTACATCTAATACATCTAATTTAAAGAAAAAGGAAAAACATTCTAAATTTAGAAAACATAAATGTTATATTGTTATAGATTCAGGTTGTGAAAGTTTAGAAGAATATGAACCACAAATAAGGAGTAAAATAGTATCTTACGATATAATAGAATCAGGTAGTGAAAGCCTTGAGGAATTATTAGTAGGGAGAAAACGAAGGAAATTAGGAAATACACTCTATAATAATAAAAAGATATAGTAGATTGATTAATTTGTTAAATAATAAAAATTTTATTTAGTTTTTTAGTAAATAAAATATTTACTTTAAAATAAAAAATTACAAATAATATACAAAATTCGAAAAAAAAAAAATTACAATATAAAAAAATTTATTTCTAAAAAATTAGACTAATTTTATGATGGTGGTGATAGTGATGATGATTATATGATGACAATGATTAATTTTTAATATAGGAAGATTGGTCCTTATTTCTGTATTATTGTTATTTTTTATTGGTTTTATCTATTAATGTTTTAATTATTTTCTCTCTTTCTCCTCGATTTAGATTATTTAAATAATTTTCTATACCATTTATTACCGCGTTTGATGAAATATTAGACATCTCCATAACCTTTTGTGTAATGGCTTCTGACCTTACTTGTTCAATTCTATAATTCATTGAATTAATTGATAGTTTATTATTATTGTTGTTGTGATCATCGATGTTGTTCTTTTGATTAATATTATTTTTTAATGCATGTTCGTTATTAAATTCATCAACAAATTCATCTAACCATAAAGCAATCTTCATATCAGAATCCTCCCAATCTAATTCTGTTCTTTTATCTTGTTTAAACCAATCGATTAAATATTGTTTCATTTGTTCTCTTGTAAGAGAAGGATTTGCCTCAATCAATTGTTTATACACATATTCCTCATGTAGTCTTCTTTTTAATCGCCAATAAAAGAATCTCCTGGCATTTTTCCATTCTAAAGCTTTTCTTATGGTATCTTTTGCCTTCATTCTACCTGGTGTGTCGTGTAAGTCGGCAAATTGTAATGCGACTTGGGAATATATAGATAGTAATTCATGTTCACGAGCATCTAAAATCATTTTTATCTCTTCCTTTTGATTATCTGAAAGTTTAGGATCTTCTAATGATTTTTTGAGATTCCTATAAGGTTCATCCAATCTTTCAATGATTGAGAGAAGTCGTGGTTTTCTGAGTTTCACTTCTATAAGACCTTCGGGTTCTAATACACCCGCTCTAGACTGTATGTCTGCATACATTTCCATCATATCTTTATTTATTGTTGGGTCAACTACTACCCATGCTCCACCACGAAGCTCACCATTAGGTATAATATACACAAAAACTGGTTGTTTATAATTTGTTAATGCATCAACAATATATGAACCATATTTTAATATTTCTTGAAACATATCACGTTGTCCTCCAGAAAATCCACGCCAATTTGCAAATATTATTAAAGGTAATCGTTCGCCTTTATTGAAATCATTTATTGCTTGTGCTGTTTTATAAGCTGAATTGGGATACCATACTTGACCTGCCTCCATCATTACTTGTTGATGAGATTCAGAATTTGCTGGATCTGCTGGTACTATATGCTCTACTGTACGTGTTTCAACTGCAATTACGCCCATAGGTATCCCGCCAAGTCTTGCACGGCCGACAACCTTTATTAGTTGTTATTATATATATATATATATACATACATACGTTACATTATTATTATTATTATTAAGAAAATCATAATTTTGATTAAATAAACAAAAAAATTTTTTTTTAATTACCACGGTCCTGGCCCATCCACTTAAAGTTTCTACAAATGAACCGCGATCAAAAAACCCATTAATCCATATACTAGAATCACCTTCTACTTCAGTTTTTCCCGTGATTAACCAGCGTGGATCATATATACCTTTAGGTGGAATATAATCAACATCACGATCCCAAGGATCGGAATTTACAGATATAGGGATTTGAGAATTTTTTGTTGCAGGTACAAAAGATAGCCATTGAACTATTTTTGTAATGCCTTCTAAATCATTATGTGCAGTAAGATGGGATACTCCATTTTTAAACATGATTTGTGTACCACCAAGTTGAAGATTAGATGTATAAACCTCACGACCAAGCACTTTGTTAAGAGCAGGTGCTCCTGTTAAAATTATGGGTTGTCCTTCATTTTGTATTGTACGTTGTCCAAGACGAACTAGATAAGCTCCAATACCTGATATAAGAAATTTTATATTATTTTTATCAATAAATTAATGAATACAAATAAATAAATAAATATGTTTAAAATGTATACCAACTGAACGACATGTAACCAAAGTAATGGTAAATATATCCTCATAAGCACGCGAAGTTTCTCCAGCAATTAAACCTGAACCTTTTAAACATTCCACTCCAAGACCATCATTAATACCAATTATGTCTGTTATTTTGTATCTTAGTTCGTCCTCCTCAACTATCTCTTCTGCAATAACAGATTTCCTATCATTTTGATTTAATTGCTTGTAAGTTTCTGAATCAAGATAAAGATATTTAAAGCCTTTTGTTGGATTTTCTTTATCAATCCATGCAACATTAAAAAGATCAATAATTTCATCAGCCAAACCGATTCTGGCACCAGAATTGGCCGAAAGATAAATTCTCGGGATTCCCATTTCTCTTGCAAGTCGAGTAGCTTTATAAAAAAAACGATCTTCTTCTGGGCCAAATGTACCAATTTGACATGTAATATCATTTGCAATAACTATAATTTTTCTCCCTTTTGGATATTCTGGTGTAAAAAGTGTAAATGTCCAAGCTACCATGCCACATGAATTGGTTCCAGGTGCTCGATCAACCTCTTGAAGTGTATCATTTTCATCGAGGACAAGCTCTTTTGCTTCAAGAACATCATTGGGACATTTAAGTTTAGGGTTATTATGAGCTGCTCGATTCCATTGAGTTCGAATACCTTGACGAAACAATTCAGGAAAATCATATACATATGTAGTACCCATCAAATGAGCTTTATAGCGACGTGGTTGTAACCATTCTTTTATTGGATAAGGAGTATGGATTGATTGTAGATGCATTGAACCTTGTTTACCAATAGATTTAAGAATCCAATTTTCTTTATCGGTCTTAACTTCTTGATAAGCCTCGACTTTGACAACATACCCAGAAACGTTATTTATAATAACACGTAGAGGATAATGACTTTTTTGTGTTGGATCTTCAACTTTGAAGCGAACTTCAGCTCCGGTAATACGTAGTCTCCATAATCTTTTACCATGTCTTTCAATAAAACCTTTAACTGCCTCTTCAATTTGTCTAGGTTCCAAGGCAAAGATAGGAATAAAATTAATAAAAAGATGATTACAGTCTGAATTTTTATATTCGGAGCTAATGATCTCAAGAGAATCCAAAATTTCATTTAAAAGTCTATCAGATTCAGAAATAAGATAATCAGCTGTTTGAACACTATTACGCAACCTTCCCGGACGTACTAAAGCTCGGACGAAGAAACGACAATCAGAAGTATTTTCTTTTCCAACTGCAAAATATACATGGATTTGTCGATTATCGGTGAAACAGGGTTTGATATCAAAATTTGACAGTCTAGCCAATTCAAGTTGGTAAGCCATAGCAGGTTCAATGTGGCGTATAGTTTGATCCTCTGTGAAATCATTTGCTTCACGAAATGTAAAATAACCAGGATATTGACCTTTACGGAACAAAACAATAGTTATGCGACGTATCGCATGTTCACGAAGTTCAAAGGAATAACGTTGAATAAGTGGTTGAATGCGTTGTTTCAATGATTCGTCATCATCAGCATCATCACCACCTAATCTTAAAGCAATATTTAAAACATTATTGAAATGATTACTGTCCATTGAATCTTGGTTGTTTCCTTTGATCTCACTTAATTTTGGGAAGATATTTAATATTCCAGGCAAGTTTGTTTCGATTTCTTCATTAGAGGAACAAGAAACCATTGCACCGATACGAAGAGGCTCATTTTCTGGTGTACGTGGAACTAAATAACTTAAATCTGATATTGAACCAGAACGCCTCATATAAAACTGCGGATTTCTTGAATTTGGTGTAGTGGGAATTGCAAAATTGGTACTGTGTAATAAAAAATGCCATGAAACCATGAATGGAACTTGATCAGTATAATATTCAACGTCTACAACTTGATAGGCTCGATAGGCTCGACGAGCATACACTTCTAAAGCAGCAAGCCCTATCCAAGGATCATTATGGTAAAAAAAATTTGGTAGAACATCAAAAACTGCAAATCTTGTATCAATTAATTCTTTCAGGGAATCATAACTCGGCATTCGATAATCGTAACCATCATCACCGTAATGTTTTTCAATAACTGCGGCTCTTAGTATTTGTTCCATTTGTGTATATCTTTCTTCGTATGAGGGCAGATGACATTGAATTAGTAATTCACGGGCCTTTAATGCAACTTTTGTTGTAAACCTCCCACCAAGTTCAGCCAATTTTTTAAGAACAGGAGAGAAAAATTTGTCAAGTGCTTGTCCAAGACTAGAAGGTTTGATCTGATCTAGAAGGTTAAGGACCAAATTATTTTTTGCTCCGACTTTTGAATGAGATAGAACTATTGAGATAACCTTATCCATATCATTTTTAAACTTATCACGTAGGGAAAGAATGACTTCTTCTTCACGTTTATCAGAGATGTCTGAAAACAAAACTTCAACTTCATGATATTTATTCAAAAAATATATTATTTCTGACCACTCGCGCACTTTCAAGCCAGAAACATAGCGATCAATGATATCATTTAATGGTGTGATTGTTGATCTGAAAATAGCAATATCATTATGCTTAACTGAATTAGCTATATAATTATCGATCATATTTTTTAATTGTTTTGCAGGAAAGTCAAATCCTTGGGAGTGTGTTTCATTTGATAATTGTTGTAGAGAGAGATCAAGTTTTGTAGGAATACGACCTGAAAGTGTTGACAATACTGAATGAAATTCCAGATAAGGTAGTTCGTGATCTCTTAACAATTCCATCAATTCCTTGACACTGTTATGAAGCATAGCTTGATTGTCATAACCGTCTAAAATACATTCAAGAACCTGTTTGACTTCACCATATAGTTGATGTACTTTACTGCCGGTCATTACAGGAGGATTCATAACGGGAAGTTGACCTTCAAAAGGTAACGCATGATGTACACGAGATGGATCATCAAGTGTTAAAATACCAATTATATCACCTGCGTCAAGTGAAGAACCAGGTTGTTTTATGAATTGTACAATGCCATCTTCTGTAGCAATTAAAGGCATATACATTTTCATAACCTACCGCAATATTTTAAAAATGTTAATTAAATAAATAATAGTAATAAAAATAAAAATAAAAATAAAATAAAATCTTTTTACTTCAATTTCAGCATAAGCATCACCACCATTAACATGATCACCAGACTCCACAAGAAACCTGGCAAGTTTGCCGGTAGATGGTGATCTTAATTGAGTAGGATCATTTTCTTTTTCAAGTAAACAAGTTTTACTGTCGATCATTAATCTAGTACCGGTCACCTCCTCACGAAAATAACAAGTATGACTTTTTCCATCTAATAAAATCAAAAGTCCACCATCAGAAAGAGCACGAACTGATACTTGAGTTTTAGAACCGTTTAAATAAATTGCAAATGAGTTGGGAGCAGAGCGTGTGCAGGTGAATTTATAACGTACTTCTTGATAAATGAATTCAATGGTGAATAATGTTTTTAAAACGTTTTTGTTTGGAATTTGACCTTTTTCCAAAAAACGCTTATATTCGTTTATAGATTCTTGAGCATCTGTGTAGGCTTTAGTGACAGCGCCACATATGACAGCTAACATTTTATCGGGTCTTTCAGCGATGATATTTTCATCGGATATCAACATATCTAACCATCCGGTTGTAATGGTATTTTCTTCAAAAGCTTGAGTTTCAAGTAATTTGGTCAAGTATTCCACAGTTGTACGAAAATCTCCTCTAATTGAAAGTTCTTTTAAAGCAACCACCATATTTTTTCTAGATTGTTGCCTGTTTTCACCATAAGCAAAGATGTGACCGAATTGTGAATCAGCAAATTCATGAAGACCACCAGCAGAACCCACAGAAAAATAACCCCATACATTAGTACTACTCCTAAAATTAAGTTCCTGTACCATTCCACTACTTGGTTTAAAACCAGCATCAGGATTTTCAGCAGTGATTCTCACCGCAATGACATGGCCTTTTGGAGCAGGTTTTCGTTGAGTTTGAAGAGATTCAGGATTTGAAAAGTCAAAATCAATTTCCGAAGTACCATTTGGAGCAAGGCCGTATAGAACACGAATATCACGGATTTGATGCAAGGGAATACCCATAGCAATTTGTAGTTGAGCAGCAGGTAAATTTACACCGGAAACCATTTCAGTAGTCGGGTGTTCTACTTGTAATCTTGGATTTAATTCTAGGAAACAAAAAAAATTTTGTTCATGACTATACAGATATTCCACAGTTCCGGCACTAACATAACCAACCAGCTTGGCCAATTTTATAGCAGCTGTTTCCATAGCTTCAAAAGTTCCAGGTTTAGCAATAGTAACAGGGGCTTCTTCAATTATTTTTTGATGTCTTCTTTGAACAGAGCAATCTCTACCAAATAAAGATATTGCATTACCATATTGATCAGCAAGTATTTGAACTTCAAGATGTCTAGCATTTCCAGCCAATTTCATGATTAAAATGTGAGAACCGGGCACTTCAACTTGAACTTGAGAAAAGGCGTGTTTAAAATTTTCAGAGCTGTCAACTTTTCTTATACCTTTTCCACCACCACCTTCAGAAGCTTTTATCATAACAGGAAATCCGATGATATTTGCTTTATTTAAACCATCATCGGCATCTTTAACACAGGCCTCTTCGTAGACATTATCTGGAACAATCACATGACCATCATCATTTTTTTCAGTTCTAGTTATTCCACTTCCACTCCAAGCCATAGTAGGAACATCAGCAGATTGTGCGACTATTGTAGAAGAAATTTTATCACCTAGAGATCTCATGGCTGAACTAGGTGGACCAATAAAAACTATTTTATTTTTACTTGATGCAAGTGAATCAGGTAATCTAGGATTTTCGGAAGCATGTCCCCTAATAATGATTTTAATTGCGATTTAATTTGGTTTTTTTTTTTAAAAAAAAAATAATTAAAACATATTAAAAAATTTAGTCACCACCCAGCCCACACAGCATGTACACCAGTTCTTTCAGCTATGTCGACAATTAAAGAAACATTAGCATAATTGTTATTGTTGGAGCCACCGGGAACCTCAATGTATTGATCAGCCATTCTAATATATTCGGCATTAATTTTCAAATCTTCAGGCGTAGCCATGACTGTGAATTGAATGGCGCGTTCGTCACCAAAAGTTTCATAGGCCCATTTTCTGATTGATCGAATTTCTTTTACAGCAGCAATACCATTGTTGGCAATAAGAATTTTTGTAATAACAGTGTGACCATTATGTTTTTCAACAAAATCTCTAACGGGACCTCTAGGAGAGCTTTGTAAATTATTACCACCTATCACTATATCAGGAGAAACTGTTAATGTTGGTATCATTATCAATTATTAATATTTTATCCAATTATCTATAGATCTGTCTAATTATTTATTTATTTTTGTATATAACAATTTATTAATTAATCAATAAAATCTATATATTTTTAATGATTGAAAATTAAGAGACAAATGAGAAAGTGAGTCAATTAAAAAGAAAAAAAAAATGCAATCAAAAAATACAATGAATGATGAAAAATAATATAATGAAAACTGGGTTAAATATAATTTTAAGAAATATTCGTAATCATTAATTAATTGATATATTTAATAATATTATAAAAATAAAAAATGAAAAATTTAACCATTTTAAAAAAAAAAAAAAAAAATGAGATTTGATTACATTCTTTTTTTGAGATTCACAAGAAGTTCACACGAAAATATAAAATCTCCCCCAAAATTTGGACAGATTCGTGTAACTATAATGATTATTTATGCAACATCAAAAGTGAAAAATATAAATTGTATTGAAAATTTCCCAATATCCAAAGACTAAAATATTTACAAATAATACAATAGATGAATGAATCGTAACTTTAGAAAAATATTAATTCTATTAAAACTTTTCTTCTACTTTTTCTTAGCATAAACACGATGACTTTTGGCAAACATTTTAACATTTGGATCTTCAGATTGAAGACGAAAATTGTCGATTGATTTTTTAAAATTTTGATCGCTAATTTTCAGTTTAGCTTGAATAATTCTTTGAAATGTTTCCCACGTAGCGATCACTGTTTCTAGGGTCTGAACAAATATAATAGTGTTTATATTAATAAAATGTCATCACGCAAATATTTTATTTATGTTAAGTTATTTATTTACCTTTTCACCACATTCTCCACCCCAAGAACCTACTTCAACCAATATTTCAAATCCATTGATTGATTCAAATTCTTTGGTATTTTCTAAAAGTTTTGGTAATTTCAATGCTAAATCTATTGTATGGCCGTTTGTGAAAAAAAAACCTCTAACTATAATCAAAAAATCGAATTATTACTATTTTTCTTTCGGAAAAATTTCAATTCAATTCAATTAAAAAAATATATTTCCTACTTACTAGCATTATGAAACCTTTTACCAATATCAATGAAAGAATTTACATGAATTTCGTATTCACATAATTCCAAATAGCCTCCGGGTTTTAAAACTCTGGCCAACTCTTTTAATATACCCGGCCATTGTAATTCAGTGAATGCAGTTATCATATGACGTTGATGTATATAATCAAAAGTATTGTCGGGAAATGGTAAGCCCTCGAGTAAATTGGATTCAAGAAATGCAGCATTACTAGGTTTTTGATAATTGTTTGGTGTGAAAGAAATTGTTATATCAACACCAATAAATGTTGAATTTGGATACATTTTTGCCAATTCAAATATCCAAATTCCTGTACCACAACTATAAAGCGTATATTAAAATCAATCAATTAATATCAACAACTATATTATATCTAAAAATTATAATTTTGATCATTTTACCCGGCATCTAGAACTCTAGCAGCGCCATATTTTAATTTTTTTTCTACGGGGGCCGAGTGATAATTTCCCCACTTTTGTATGACGACTTCATGTAATAAATTTGATCTTGAGTTTTCAATATTATCGGTTGGGAAGAAATAAGGGGCATTATCTTTATTATGAAATATCCTTCCGTCTATTATACGGTGATCTTCTGTTATAGAAATCGGATAATGATAAATATTGGTCTGAAATGACGAAGATGGATGTGAAGAAGAATGATTCGTTTCAACGTTAGAAATATTTATTTGATTTGATTTATTATTACATAATTTATTATTATGATCATTTACATTTGAGAGAATTGTATTTTTTGGACAAATATTTGAGCTATTTGAATTATTCCTTATTTTAAATTTTGAAGGTACTATTCCCATTTTTTAAGATATAAAATGGAGACTGTGATTTTTATGCTGCATTTTATATTAATTTATAAAAGCATTAAACCTCTACAAATATACGTAATTATTTCTAAATTTGTGCAATTTCAAATTTTCTTTATAATCTTTGTGTAATATTTATTTTGGCGCCTAAGGAAATTTATTATTATATTCCAAGAATCTTTAAAGATAAATTAAAGTTTTTTTTTTTTTTGAAGGATTTAATGGATACTATAAATATTTAATATTTCCAATGTAATATTTTTTTGCATGCATTTGGTTTTAAACATCTTCATAGTTTAGGTTGCATAGATTTGTCATGAGCAGTTGAGACAATTTTTAACAAAAGTTGTATTGAATATTTACACATGACATGATAAAAACCTACATGGGCAATCAAAAATACCCATGAACGAAATTAAAGTCGCATCATCATTGGGTTTTCGCCCATCGGTGTAATATTTAAGATAATAAGATCATATTGACCCTGTATTCGAAGGTCCTAAAATGGGTGGAAGAATGTTAGGAAAGACTTGATAGCATTCTCTGAAAATTATTTATATTATCGTTGTATGTAAATTTAAATCGTGCGAAATTGAAATCTATAATTAAATACGGGGGTGGGGAGAAATTCGTTTCAATTGTTGATTCGTTCTTTCCGAACACAATAATTATAAATGTCTATTACTATTATCACGCCCTTTTCATACTCGGTACACTACAACTTCTAATGATTCAACAATAAAACTATTTAGCATTATTATTTTTTTTTCTTTTTATCACTTTCAAAACTTCAAATTAAGACTTACAAAATCTGTACCCAAACTTGTCTTATCTAAAAGTCGTTCTACGTATCAATATGGATCAGCATGTATGTACTTCCAACTCGGTCATTAAATACAGCTCAAGCGCGTTTAATAATAATAATATATTACTATGCGTTTGCTATGTAAAAGTTGCTCTACATACCAACATTGACTTGCCCATGTTGTTTCAAACTCGGGCACTAAAGACAATTCGAATGCGTTTTAATTTTATGAAATGTATTTTTGTTAATTTTGACAAAGATAAATGTAGTTTATTCTATCAGTATTTAACCAATTACTTCACATTTTACCAATCAGATCACTGGTCAAAACATTATCAAAACTAAAAATTTCTACCAGTGGTAATTAGTTATAGTATAAATGTTAGTAATAATTATTATATGCAATAATTTTTTAATTAAGATTTGTTGCATTTTTATTTTGAAAAAAAATCAATTAGTTTCATAATTAATTTAATTAATAATGAATTTGTATGAAATCAATTAATTGAAACTAATCCTATAATAGTTAGTAGTAATACCAGTTTCATGGTGTTAAAACATACTAATACCTTTTTATTATAGTGGAAAAATTAGTAATATTTGGGGTGTTGGGTTGCATAATCCTTTGAATACGCCTGTATTTATTCATGTATTCATGTACAATAAAAAAAAAAATTTTTTTTAAATCATGCAGATCTTCTATGTTTTGGTATTAACAAACGTACAATCAACTGGAATATTAATAACAATAGAAGCATAAAAGATAATAAAATCACATTATCAAATTGGACAACAAATAATATTATATTTGGGGCGTCATGGATGTCTTTGTGACATTCACTATAATTTTCTTATTATTATTGAAGTATGGTTATAACTATTGAATGTTATTCTCGGGAACTAACAGCCTACACGGAAAGAAAAGGCTGTTATCTATCGTCCCAAACGGTCTAATTTTATCAGATACGGGAGTATTTTTTTATTTAAATTGTTTATTGTATTTTTTACTATGTCAAAACAACCAATAAAACATAACATTACGATGACATCGAAAAAAAAAAATTAAATCATGCAGACTTTCACTTTAAAAATTAATATATACGGTTAGGTAGGCCCGAACAATCTTAGGAGATGGCACATTTCAATTTTTTTGATGATGGTCTATTACTATTAATATAAAAAAACAACATACGGAATTTCCGTATGTTAAGTACGTTCTAAAAAACAAATCCGTAATTAACGTACGTGATGTGCAAATGCTGAAATGACCCTAGCACGGTTTTTTGTGTATAAAACATACGGGATAGATGTGGAGTTCATGACATACTGAAATGGTACGTTTTTGATTGTAAACATACGTAATAAATGCGGGCGAGTGACTATGACACTTAAATGGTACGTTTTTGATTCCATGTATAGTATATAATAATACATTTTTATCAATGGTCCGCCAAATTCGATTCATATCTTTAATATATATTGAATAATAATTATTTATAATAAAAATTTTTTTTCTATTGTATAATATATATATATATATGCAAAAAAAAACCGGAAAATTACTGTTGTCAAAAAACTTTTTATAATATTATTAAAAATTCATCAACTTGACTCAAATAAATTTTCAAACAAAGCTTGGCTTTTTAAAATCACTTTAAAACTGAATCTGGCAATTAGCTGTTGAGTGATTTGCTTTTAAAATTCACAATATGGTTGAATTTTACTTGCTTTTTGCAATTATTTTATTAGAATAAATGAAATACATTTACCTAATAAATGTACCCGATTGCTAACTCTCCATTCTCAAATAACTATTTCAATATTAATAAGTTGTATGAAATTGACAATGTGGATTATAGGAGAGTTAATCGTTCGAAGAAACGGAATCACCTTTGGAATCACGTGACTTATTACAATTTATTATTATTATTATTACGTACTAGATTTCTTTAAAATTTTGGTAATCAATTATAAATAATGTGATAGAAGTTAAAATTTAAAGATGTGTGATGATTCATCATAGAAAAGTGGGACCCAACTCCTGATTTATTTCTAATTAATTTACTTTGATAAAAAAAATCAAGTTGTCAGCCTGCAATTAAAATCAATAGTGAAAGTATTTCGTATTAAAATATATTCAATAAAAGTTCTGCTCTTAACCTATCGAATGGAAATATTTTCTATGTGAATTAACGAAATGGTTGTTCCATGATGATTAATTTGATTTTTCCGGTTTTTTTGCAACACATTGTATATATATACTGTAGTTATATTGATTTTAAAAGCCGCAATTGGTGTTATGCATGACGCAAAACACAATTCGCGATGCGTGGGGCGCAAGATGTAATTCATGATGCAGGGCATGATTCATCCATACTTTAGGCCTTTGAAAATCTGACGAAATTGTTGAAACCTAAACTGCAGACGAAAACCACTGTTTAATTTCTGACCACAAGTGTTTTATTAAACAGAAAAAAGAATTAATTTGTTTTATTGTTAAATTATAAAAGTGTTTATTATTATTACAAAATGAATTAAGTCAAAAAGTGACTAATAAATAAATAAATATATATATAAATAATAAAAATATTAAATGCAAAATACGAATATTATTAAATGAAAGAGACTACAGATCACATGTCCGACATACGATTGGATGGCACTTCGATAAATCCGTTTTATTTATCAAAATATAAAAACTTTGCTCATAATTTTGACGATTCAACCACAGTTTAAGTTTCATCACTAGTAGGGACCTAAATTATTAATTTCTGTAGCGAAACCATTTCGGATTTGCTAAAATAATTTTCAGCCACCATCATTACACATGACACAATTCATGAATTAATTCAAGCTTTAAAACTATTTAATTTTTAATTTTTAATGTAACATCAATGTTTCATAGCCAAAAAGAGGTTTTTAGCTAATAAATTGTCATAAAACATGCTTGCGCCATGAATTGAGTCCTGCGTCTCGCGTCTCGCGTCAGTTGTATAAAATTATGGTAGGTAGTGCAATGCAATTTTTAATCGCAATTCAATAATTTTGACCTCGAGTATAATTGATACAATCCCAAAAGTTTTTGGGTTTCAGGTCGGATTTGGTTTTTTCGATTCGGTCCCAACCAACAACCCAAATCCAACCGAAACTGGACTGAAAATTTTCGAGTTCTTCCGAACAATTTATAATAGAGATCATACAAATTTACAAAAAATTTATATGGACAATGCCCATTTTATACGATACCCAATTAATTATCTTATACAGTTGAACCCTCGTTTCGACGGATTTTATATTTAAATTGTGTTACTATCACTATTACAACGGACAACGGATTTTCTGGTAATAATAACAGTCGTAATAAGTATGGTGCGGGAAGTCTATAACCACAAATTTTGCATGTGATTTTTAAAAGAATAGAAGTCCATTCCTGTATATCATTTTTTAAAAAATAGCTCAGTTATGACATAGATTAAATCTCAGGCTTTAGCGTGACAGAGAGTTTTTTTAAAATATTGGTGGGTTGTTGAGTCCTATTCCTTTTTAGTACATGTATGTTACTATATTCACGAGGAATTTGGCCGCTTAAATTTGGGCGGAAATTATGACATCTGCGGATCCTTTTTTAAAATTCTGGTCGGAATAAAGAATCCATGTAACAGTAATAGTAAATTTAACATGCCAATATTTTTTACTCAAGTGTTCCAATAAATTTACATACAGTGTGTAATGAAAATAATGGTGGTGACAAAAAGTTACATATCTCAACAAATATTGAAAGATAGGTGAAGGTGGGTTTGCACTAAGGTTGCTTGTGAAACTCTGCCAAAACTCTAATAAACAATTATTGTGTGGCTGATTGATTTCCAGAGGAGTTTTGACAAGCAACCATAATTTGCACAATTGCAAAGCATAATCAAATAGCTTTAGATTCATTTGAAATAAGGTTGCTTGCCAAAGTCTCTTAATGACTGCCAAAACTCTAATAAACAATTAGTGTGTATCTTGCCAAAATTCTGCTGATTGATTTTTGGAGGAGTTTTGGCAAGCAACCATAATTTGAAATAAAAAAATTTATATTGCCAATTTTTTGTAAAGCTAATTCACATCTTTTTTTTAAAGCCTTTCACAAAATTTGACTTAAAATTTTTGATGTGAAATTTTTTAATAATTATTCTAATGCAAAAATGTACATAAAAATTATATCAAATTGTATCTTAAGTCCTGAAGATTTTGCATATAAAATTACATGCTTTTATATTTTCTATGATGCAAGTCACTTAGTCACTGATAAGGTTGCTTGCCGAAACTAGGGAGTTTCGGCAGAATGGCGTATGCGAAACTGCCGAAATAGTTTCGGCAAATTGTTCTGAAACGCCGAAATGCCGAAAGTGCCGAAAGTGCCGAAATGCCGAAAGTGCCGAAAGTGCCGAAAGTGCCGAAAGTGCCGAAATGCTGAAAGTGCCTATAGCTGATTTTTATAATTGCTAGTAATATTTTAATATAGTTTCGCCATATTTTATTAACCTAGAGGTTGGACATCGACTATCTTAGTTAACTAACTAATAGTATAATCGACTAAATTTTTTTGATCAACTAATATTAATATATATTAATATTCAAATAAACGATCAATTAAATCAACTAAATGATCGACTATGTTTGGAGTTTATATTTGTAATACAAATTCTTATTCAAATTATTCATAATACTAATACTAATACTAATACTAATACTAATTCGAATAATTCGTTTTCATTTGAACCATTCATTTTCATTCGAATAATAATGATTCGTTTTCATTTGAACCATTCGTTTTCATTCGAATAATAATAGTTCGTTTTCATTCGAATAATAATAGTTCGTTTTCATTTGAACCATTCGTTTTCATTTGAATAATAATAGCTCGTTTTCATTTGAACCATTCGTTTTCATTTGAATAATAATAGCTCGTTTTCATTTGAACCATTCGTTTTCAATAGTTCGTTTTCATTTGAACCATTCGTTTTCATTCAAATAATAATAGTTCGTTTTCATTCGAACCATTCGTTTTCATTCAAATAATAATAGTTCGTTTTCATTCGAACCATTCGTTTTCATTCAAATAATAATAATTTGTTTTCATTCAAACCATTCGTTTTCATTTGAATAATAATAGTTTGTTTTCATTCAAACCATTCATACCATTAATTTTTATTCAAAACATTTATTTTCATTCGAACCATTTGTTTTCATTCGAACCATTTGTTTTCATTTGAATCATTCGTTTATTCAAATAAAACCCTAAAATTTTATTCATAACCTGTGTAATACTTAAAATTTTAACTAATTCAAATTTAAACTTTTATGGTGTAACAAATCTAAGCCACCACAACCAATCATGTCATGATAATTCACGATAATCTTTATTATTATCGATATCAATCAATCTTTATTTGAATTATGTTTACTATACTTTGACCTTTACTTCTTTACTTTAAAATTTATTTAATTTTAAAGATTTTTATCAAGCTTTCTTCTTTCTTCAACTTCGTCAGTCTTTAAATTATGAATTTTTTCATAGTAATTTCAATGTGTTGAATCTTCAAAATCTATTCAAACCTTAATAAGGTTTAACAAAAATGTGTTACATAATTAATTCCCTTTTTTTTTTTTTTTTTTCAAACACCATCCGCGTCATTTTAAACTCACACTAAAAAAAAGCCTATACAAAAGCTTATGCAAATTTCAATATTAATATGAACACTCCTCTTAATTCTGACTTTTTAAATAACTCTTTAAATCCGGAGGACTCACCTGTTCCTAGCCAAGAAAAAGAAAAAAAAAAAAACATGGAAGGCCAATTAGTTCTATTTGGGAAGATGTTAATAAAGGAGATTCTGTTGGCTCTGGAAAATTTAATGCCTCTTGTAAATACTGTACAAGTAAATGGACACGTGGTGAAGTTGCAAAACTAGAGGAACATCTTGCCAACCATTGTTCAAAAGCCCCTGCAACAATTGTAAGAAAATATCTGTCCATAGTGTTAGAACGTAAGGATAAAGCACCAATTAAGAAAAAGAAAGTTGAAAATAGCCAACAAACTATTATTACAAATTATCACGATTCTATAGAACTTCCAAATTCCAGAATTACCAGTATTAACCGTGCTCTAGCTAAATTTTTTATTACATGTGGTATATCATTTCGAATAGTGGAACATCCTTTTTTTATCAATTTTGCAAAAGAGCTCAATGCTGGGTATGAACCACCATCAAGAGAGATTTTATCAGGTCAATTACTTGAACGTGAGTTATCTCAAGTAAACTCCAAAGTTAAATCTGAAATTGAGAAGGAAACCAATCTAACATTAGGTTAGTTAAAAAATTAATATGATTTTTTTAAAATCAAACTATTATAGATTTTTAATTATATTAATGTTGATATAATTTAGCCTTTGACGGCTGGACCTCTGGTACACATCGC